TCAAGGTGCGAGGTTTTGAGAATTGACCCAAATGCACGACCTTTCTAGGATTCTAGGAGACACAGTAGGAGTGGAATTCACTGGTGGAACCATTCCAATCGCTTTTTGCTGCCGGCCAACAAGGAGGGTAGGAGTGTGTTTTTGGCCAGTGCGCTTTTGGAGCCATCCAAAACGGAATGTGCCGGGAAGTAATGCATTTTTGCAGGCCGGGAAAACGCACAGCGGCAATTGCGCACAGGGCAAGGACACCTGTTGCAACGGAGGAGGCTTTTAGCAACTTGCACTCCTCCCAACAGCAAAATGCGTTTGGGAAGACCTCAAAAATGCACTGCCTCCTCCCTCCCAGCCGTGGGCAAAGTGATTCTTGGAAGGCTTCGAAATTTCCCGACTGCAAGCTAAGTGCGTTTTGGAGATTATCGACAACGCACTTCTCCTCCCTCCCGGCCGCAAAGCGACCTGCGTTTTGGCAGGCTTCGGAAACTTCCGGCTGCAAAACAAATTGTGTTTTGGAAGGCTGTCCCCTTCCCCCCGGCCGCCACCATCTCCACCAGAACGCGTTTTGCACGGCTTCGAGAACGCACTGTCCCCTCTCGGCCACAAAACGAATGCGTTTTGGCCGGCGATTAAGACAGCCTCGAAAATACAGAAAAATACATCTCCCTCCTTCCCGGATGCACGGAATATGGTTCTTTGGGCAGGCTCTACTGTAAACGAATCATACCTCCTGCGTGTTGGTCCCCTGCGTGTTTTTGCGTGTTGTGCGTGTCACTCCCCCGCACTTGTTGCAACAAGCGAGTGTTTTGACAGGTTTGGACTCACAGCACTCAAAGAACAACACTCAGCCAGACAGCATTCAAAGAGCAACACTCGGTTCAAGAAAGCGGGCCTTCATCAGATTGACTGGCGCATTGCCTCACCACAGGACTGGCTTTCCGCAACTCGAAACCTCATCAATTCCCTCCCACCACAGCTCCACCTCAACCCTAGAACCAAAACCTTCCCTGCTGGTTGCTGCAAGTGCTGTTGGTTTCTAAGCAACTGCTGGCTGCCAGTTGCTGAAATGGTTGTTACCAACTGCTAGCCGTAGCACCACTCGCAAGGGTCTTTGCAGCTGCACTGAAGCTACAGAACATGCGCGCCTGGAGTTTTCAGAAATCGCACGATGTCCTGCATGGACGAAGATGAATCATACCAAATGGTGAAGATGGGTCCCAACATGCCCCAACGCTGTTTGAAAAGGATCTCTTTCTGACACATTCATGCATCAAACAGTTCAAGTCAATCTGGAAGGACGGATGGTAGGAAAAATGTTGGTGGAACGAGGACGATGCAATTTTGTAAGATGAGAACAGCTGCTGCAGAGGCTTATAACCTAGCTGGCTAACATCAGAAGCAGCCCGATGTCGCTACAAGCAATAAGAATGTTGCCGGTCTCCAAATGTTTGTGGGGAACCATATCAGTATCTTCTCTGGTCCAAACCAGAGTTCAGACGTGACGTATGGGTGCAGCACGACAGGTGGACTTCCGCATCCCGGCTACTACCCGGAAACAACCCCATGCGATCACGCTCGCTACCGTTCGTCAACCGGGCTTGCGTTTCCTACGGGGTTCGGGGTCTTTTTGTAATGTTGGCGAAACGTGCGTGGGAGTGACATACCGCTTTATGGCAACGAAATGCATGGTCCGTGCCGATGCTGGGCAGGTGCTATGGCCGGATACGCAAACTGTCGCCAGGGTCGGCTTTCCCCTCGGCAGTCACTCGTCCCCCCTGCCTGAAGTTCAACTCGGTTGGAGATTCCTTGACTTCTCTTCATGTTGACGTTTGCTTGAGAAGCTGTGCCAAGGAGTGCTTGCGCGCCTATGCACAGCGGTTCGGAGGGGGGTGCAGTGCATGGAATTGTGGAAGCGAGGGCCTGCCGGAGTCTACCGAGATCTACCGAGTTCTCTCGAACCAGAGTTGTACGCCGTGGGGCTCAAGACGGGGGTGGGTTGCGACTTAAGCAGAAATGGCTCTCTATCTTCACCTCTTTTGCCCTATGCTACTGACACCGACACGTGCCAGCAACATAATCAATATCTTTCAATGTCCTCCTCGGTCAAGTGAGCTACCTGTTGAGGAGTGTCCTGCGTCAAGCGATGTCAAGCAATGAGCACCAGCCATCACCTGATTTGAGTGCCGGGCTTGCAGCGCAGCAGCGACTTCCGATATCACCCGGCTGTTCCCACTGCTCAAGAGGCTCTGCAAGGAGTAGTTATACCTGACAAGATGGCACGACGATGGCGGACAATGCCACTGCGAGTTTCTTGCCTGTCGACCCGGAGGTGCTTGTCCTTCAGATGCAATCTTACATCATGCTGGGAAGAACATCTGCAAGCTCGTGGCACGCTCCGATCGACCCTTTCCGCCTGCGAGGATATCAGGTGCTCAGGCGCATCCTGCGTTCAATCAGATTCCAAACCGTGTGATGTCGTTTTCACTGCTGGAAGTCTGCATGACGTATGTCTTTGTGGTGACATGAAGGTCCTGCTTGTTCTTGATAAGGTCTGCCTTCTGAGCCAGGAGCAGCTTCACAACTGCAGTCTGGCTCATCCTCGGTTTCCATTCGCTGGGTAGCGAATAAAGTCCACCGCAGAGCATTCGTTAGACGAACTTTTCTGAGTGTGATTGCAACATAGCGCAAGAACTTAGCGCCTTGCTCGATGGCAGTATCTAGCGGTGTGAAGTACCAGTCGCCATGCCTCGGCCAGCAGCGGCCAAAACCGAAAGAGCCAGCGGCAGCGTAAGGAGGCCACAGAATCCTGCCGGTGCATTCCGTTATTTTCACCTGTCATGAGAGGCACTGCAAGGAACTGCTCATGCTGCCGCATGCTTCGACGAGCCTGACAGCGTCCGTTCATGTCTGCAGCTGCTTGCAAAAGCAGTTGGCAGCACTTTTCATTTCCCGCCCTGCAGGAAGCAGACAGGCGTGAGTTGGACCCACGAAACCACACCGTTAGCGATCGAACGAGGCATTGAGCCATCTGATGCAACTGATCGCATGTCGCGCCTTGCAGCAACATGCAAAGGCGTGTAGTGCAAAGCCGTATTGTCCTGTCGCGTCGTCACGGGTTGAAACGGTGCGGTTGCTAGTACAGGCTACGTGACACGAGCATCCTGCCAGGGAGCCGCTTCATCCACTGAAGCCTTCCTGTGGCGGATTGTAGCAATAGCTCACAGAAAGCATGGCGGTAACCTGGGCCCCGAAAACTTGCCAGGAGTACGCTTCCAGCAAGTAGCGCGTGCATTTCACAGCACCAAAGTAGGATGCATTCCACAGCCTGAAAGAGAGCAGCGGCCCAAGCAGCGTGATTCTATTGCTTGTTCCGTTCAAGTTCAGTAGAACATAGTGAGGAGAAAATACACACCTTGCTCGAGTCGTTTGTCTGTCTTTTCACTGAGTTGACCACATCCTGCTTATGCGAATGCTTTGCTTCGCTCCAACTAAACGCAACAATTGCGCTCACTTCAAGCTAAAATTGCACACCATGACAGAACGCTGGCAACCAGCAAATAAGTTCTGCTCTAAGCTGGAGTAACAGCCACTTCCACATTCTTCCGTCTTTGCTCAGACGTCTTCTTCTCTTGTTCTGGCATCGGATTTTCCACGAGGCATCACGAGGCTAACCGTTTTGCACGACAGGAGGTCGACAGTTGGCATGCCGTAAAGATGCACGGTCTAGGTCTAGGCTGCAGCATAACGTGGCGGAGGTGCTGGGATAAAGAAGGGCTAGTCAAAACTCAGGTGCGAACATCGTGGCACCGGGTGTGTCCCCTGAGAAGAACAATCACGACTTCATGAGCAGACAGGCCTGCAAAAACAACTGCTCAAACTACTCATGGCCGATGGCCTACTGTCGATCCCAAATCTGGTGACACATCGTGGCTCTCGACCTCGTCGACGAGAGGGCGATTTTTCAGATGAGACGTTGCGGTCTTTCAGGAATCTGGGACGGGACTGAGCTCCACACTAGCAAAGTCAGCATGTCCACGCTGTCCTGAGCCACAACGAGTTGACATGAGTTGACAGCTCTTGGCAGAAACCGACTGAAGACCCACAAACATCCATATCATCCATATTGGGTTGGGTGCGAGGAGTAACGGGAGGCGCTTTGGGCAGTAACGGAAACCGATGTTGCACTCTGTAACCGATTCGCGCGGCCGCGATAATCTATCCATGCATTGGGGCACGTGCACACACATATGCAGGTGCTGATACTGATTCATCGATACTCAGCGCGTACACTACACACAACCAATCTGCCGCGTGTTTCTCACAAGCAGGCACATGGTGACAGATAGGCAGGCTGACTTTCGTAACGGCGTTTGCAATTGCTGTAGTTCCGCAGCTTTTAAGTGATACATCAAAGATTGAGGTTTCCAGGTTTCAACGTTTCAGCACGTGGGCTTGTTGGCATCCCGGAATCTTGGTGTCGGTTGAACATGTTGGGCCTGGAACTAGATGTGCTGGAATCGTAGGTAGGAATCTCTTTGGCTCAGGGACCGGACAGTCTGTGAGCTAAGTGGGTGGAGGTTTTTGTTTGCGGTGTTCGCGGGCATGGCCGCAACCGCAAACCCCAAAAGCCGATGCTGAAACCGTAGACAAAAGGAATGGTTGGGAAACCCCAAACCCTAGAAGGAGATGTTGGTTGACCCAACGCCTGCAAAGAAACTGCTCTTGAGAAACTCCAAACCCGAAAAGCCGATGCTGAACCTTGAACACAAAAATGGTTGGGAAACCCCAAACCCTAAAAACCAGATGCTGGTTGACTCAAAACCTGCAAAGAAGCTGCTATAGAGAAACCCCAAACCCCAAAAGACCGATGCTGAAACCCCAAACAAAAGGAACGGTTGGGAAACCCCAAACCCTCAAAACCAGATGTTGGTTGACCCCAAGCTTGCAAAGAAGCTGCTCTTGAGAAACACCAAACCCTAAAAACCGATGCTGAAACCCTAAACAAAAAGAATGGTTGGGAAACCCCAAACCCTAAAAAAGTGATGTTGGTTGAGCTAATGCCTGCAAACAGGCTGCTATTGAGAAACGCTAGCCGCTAAACCCGAAAAACCCAAGCTGCAACCCTACACACAGGAAACCCCAAACCCCAAAAGGACATGTTGGTTGACCCAACGCCTGCACAGAGGCTGTTATTGAGAAACCCCAAGCCCTAAAAGCCTATGCCGAAACCCTAAACAAAAGGAATGGTTGGGAAACCCCAAACCCTAAAAAGCAGATGTTGGTTGATTCAACGCTTGCAAAGAAAAGCTGCTCTTGAGAAACCCCAAACCGTAAAACCGATGTTGAAACCCTAAGCAAAAGGAATGGTTGGGAAACCCCAAACCCTAACAAGCGGATCGATCCAATGCCTGCAAAGAGAAGCTGCTCTTGAGAAACACCAAACCCTAAAAACCGATGTTGAAACCCTAAAACAGTGATGCTGGAGACCCGAAACAACAGCAACACAAAAGGAATGGTGGGGAAACCGCAAACCCTAAAAAAGTGATGTTTGGGTCACGTCTGCAAAGGAGCTTCTATTGAGAAACCCCGGACCCGAAAAGCCGATGCTGAACCTTAAACAAAAGAATGGTTGAGAAACCCCAAACCCTAAAAACCAGATGCTGGCTGACCCAACGCCTGCAAAGAAGCTGCTCTTGAGAAACCCCAAACCCCAAAAGACCGATGCTGAAACCCTAAACAAAAGGAACGGTTGGGAAACCCCAAACCCTCAAAACCAGATGTTGGTTGACCCCAAGCTTGCAAAGAAGCTGCTCTTGAGAAACACCAAACCCTAGAAACCGATGCGGAAACCTTAAACAAAAAGAATGGTTGAAAAACAGATGTTGGTTGACCTAAAACCTGCAAAGAAGCAGATCTTGAGAAACCTCAAACCCCAAAAGCAGATGCTGAAACCCCAAACAACAGGAACCGCTGGCAAACGCCAAACCCCAAAAGGAGATGCTGGTTGACCCAAAACCTGCAAAGAAGCTGCTTTTGAGAAACCCCAAACTCTAAAAGCCGATGCTGAAACCCTAAACTAAAGGAATGGATGGGAAACCCCAACCCCAAAAGGACATATTATTGGTTGACCCAAAAAGGCACAGAAACTGCTATTGAGAAACCCCAAGCACTAAAAGCCGATGCTGAAACTCTGAACAAACGGAATGGTTGGGAAACCCCAAAGCCTAAAAGGAGATGTTGGTTGGCTCAACGCCTGCGAAGAAGCTGCTATTGAGAAATCCCAAACCCGAAAAGCCGATTCCCAAACCCTAAACAAAAAGACTGGTTGGGACACCCAAACCCCAAAAAGAGATGCTGGTTGTCCCCAAGCCTGCAAAGACGCTGGTATTGAGAAACCCCAAACCCTAAAAGCCGATGCTGAAACCCCAGGCAAAAGGAATGGTTGGGAAACCCCAAACCGTAAAAAATGGATGGGAAACCCCAAACCCTAAAAGGACATGTTGGTTGACCCAACGCCTGCACAGAAGCTGCTATTGAGAAACCCCCAGCCCGAAAAGCCGACGCTGAAGCCCGTAACACAAAGAATGGATGGGAAACCCCCAACCCTAAAAGCAGATGTTGGTTGACACACAGCCTGCAAAGAAGCTGCTAAAGAGAAGCTCCAAGCCCCCAAAGCCGATGCTGAAACCCTCAACAAAAGGAATGATTGGGAAACCCGAAACCCCAAAAAGGAGATGTTGGTTGACCCAACGCCTGCAGAGAAAACATGCTCTTGAGAAACCCCAAGCCCCAAAAGCCGATGCTGAAACCCTAAACTAAAGAAATGAATGGGAAACCCCAAACCGTAAAATGACATGTTGGTTCACACAAAGCCTGCACACAAGCTGCTGATGAGAAACCCCAAACCTTAAAAGCCGATGCTGAAACCCTAACGAAAGGAATGGTTGGGAAACCCCAAACCCTGAAAGGAGATGTTGGTTGGCCCAAAGCCTGCAAAGAAACTGCTCTTGAGAAACCCCAAACCCCAAAAGCCGATGCTGAAACCCTAAACAAAAGCAATACAAGAGGAATGGTTGGGAAACCCCAAACCCTACAACAAATGTTGGCTGACCCCAAGCATGCAAAGAAGCTGCTATAGAGAAACCCCAAACCCTAAAAACCGATGCTGAAACCCTAAACAGAAGGAATTGCTGGGAAACCCCAAACCACAAAGCGAGATTTTGGTTGACCCAACGCCTGCTAAGAAGATGCTATTGAGAAGCCCCAAACCATAAAAGTATATGCTGACACCCTAAACACAAGGAACGGTTGGGAAACCCCAAACCCTAAAAGGAGCAAAGAAGCTGCTGTTGGGAACCCCAAACCCCAAAAATCGATGCTGAAACCATAAACAAAAGGAGTGGTTGGGAAACCCCGAACCCTAAAAAGAGATGTTGGTTGACACACAGTCTGCAAAGAAGCTGCTGATGAGAAGCCCAAACCCTAAAAACCGATCTTGAAACCCAAAAGAAAAGGAATGGTTGGGAAACCCCAAACCCTAAAAAGAGATGTTGGTTGACCCAACGCCTGCGAAGAAGCTGGTATTGAAAAACCCCAAACCCTAAAAGCCGATGCTCCAAACCCTCAAAGCCGATGCTGAGGCCCTAAACAAAAAGGACTTGTTGGGAAACACCAAACCCTAAAAAACAGATGTTGGTTGACCCAAAGCAAATGCTGAAACCCTAAACAAGAAGGATGGTTGGGAAACCCGAATCCCTGAAAGGAGATGTTGTTTGCCCGAAAGCCTGCAACGAATCTGTTCGCCAAACCCGCGGCCACTTGAAGTTGTTGTTGGTGGTGGTGGTGCTGGTGCTGGTGCTGGTGCTGGCGCTGGCGCTGGCGCTGGCGCTGGCGCTGGCGCTGGTGCTGGTGCTGGTGCTGGTGCTGGTGGTCGTGGTGCTGGTGGTCGTGGTGCTGGTGGTCGTGGTGCTGGTGCTGGTGGTCGTGGTGCTGGTGGTCGTGGTGGTGGTGGTGGTCGTGGTGGTGGTGGTGGTGGTGGTGGTGGTGGTGGTGGTGGTGGTGTTGGTGGCGGTGGTGGTGGCGGTGTTGTTGTTGTTGTTGTTGTTGTTGTTGTTGTTGTTGTTGATGTTGCTGCAGTTGCTGATGATGACGATGATGCTGTTTGTGCTGTTGCTGTTGCTGCTGCTTTTGATGTTGCTGTTGTTGTTGTTGATGTTGCTGCAGTTGCTGATGATGACAGCCGCCACGGACCAGGCCGCCGCGCAGTTCGAGGCAACAACGGGCTTTGGGCGCAACCTTCTTTCCTAGAGGTTCCAACCGGGCCTCAGGGCAACGTAAGAAGTTGTGCCCCTTTTCGAGCCATG